AAGTATCTGAAACACGCCAAAGGTACAATTATCATTCACAAATTCCACCTATTTTATTTATTAATTTTGATCTAGAGTGAACTGGAGAGGAAGTTCTAAGTATCTGAACCATAGTCCTGTAAATTTAGATTATAGATAATTTACTTCTATAACATTTTTCTTTGACACTTTTGACATTTCAACAACAATAGTTGTTGTAAAGGTATAAAATAAAATTATTGATTAAAAAATTGGTAAAAAAGATAGGAGATAAATGCCCAAAAACTTACTCCTTAAAGAAATATCTAGTTTAACCATTTAGTGTCACCAATGACCATGCCAAGAACTGAGGATGCTTTCATGTTCAGATTGTTGGCTAAAGTTCAGTGAAAGTATTGAAGTTCCTTCTATTTACTGTCAGATTATTTGGTAAAACAAAAAAAAATTATAGAAATTGTAGTACATAATCCAAAAGAATATACCATTTTACAATTAAAAGGAAGGTACTATTAAAAGGTATAGAAATGTTAATTTTTTAATCATAGTCTATGCTTTCAATACTTGTGTTATTTTGTATTCTTTCTCCTGGGTCATATCTTCTCTATCCAGATTTTCAGTTCTTTCTAAAAATCTTGTTAACTCCAAATTCATCTTTATGTATCCTTCTGCTATATGCAAAGAACAGAGGGACATGTGCAAAGAAAGTCCCAGAAATATCCTTACATGTCCCTTGATTCTCTAGGAAAAGTATGCAAAGTAATTTTAGGAACAGTTTTTAGTTACACTTGATCAGGCTTGAATTTTACTATTAAATTAATAGGCAATTTGAATGTATATAACAAAAATAAAATAGTTTATGTACTATTTTGGTGGAATTTGATTTCACCTGTGTGGGTACTCATTCCTTCCATTCAGATTGTAACCCTTACGTGGTTTCTAATCCTAGGTCGTTCTCGCCCATGTCTTTCCTTTAATCCTCCATAGACTATTAATCCAAATGAAAGGCCTTTCTCTCATTATGTTAGTATATCAGAGAAGCCAGTGTGGTACTAGTCAGTTGGTCTGTTTCCTCTTATTCTCATTACATAACCAACCCACTTCCTCTGAGCAGGTCACCATATGCTCCACTTAAACTCACCATGTACCTTTCCATTACTCTCTTTTGTCATTTGCTACAACCATGTAGTATCACTGGAATAATATTGATATTAAGAGATGTTTTCTTGTTGTTGCTGCCTTACTGCAAAATTTGGTATTATTGAATACACTGAGCGTTTCCTCCAAATGCAATGTAGACTACTCCATTCCCTCTCATTTCTGGGCCCAGATGATTATCTATCTGAAGCACTTGTCCATCTTATACAGGTTTGATGGACTAACTTGATTGCTCATAATTGGACTTCATAATCTAGGTAATAAGTGGCTTTCATCTACTTTGTTTTTGTTTTGTTTTTTCCTAGTGTGGGTGGTTAGACTTATCCCTTTTATATTGCTGTAAATTTTACTGAAAAGACTTTGAAGTGCTCAAGGTCTTTATGCTATCAGTACTAGTTCATTTATAAATTAGAATGTTTGGAGAGCTTTGCCACTAAGAGATAAGAGAACTAAATAATTTACATTTAGTTATTCAAGTTATTTCAAATTAAATAAAAGTTTATAAAATGCTTACTATGTGTAAGACACTCTCCTGGATGCTAGGAATTCAAATTAAAAATAGTACCAGTCCTTACGGATCTTACATTCTGCTGTGAGATATAGCATGCAAAGTCATTTGAAGGGTGAGAACATTAGCAACTGGATATATCAAGAAAAGCTACGTGGAGAAGGTAACATCTGGACCTAGTCTTGATGAAAAATGCAGATTCTGAAAGGCAAGAGATAAAAAGGGAGCACATTCCAGGTATCAGGGGCCGCTTGTGCAAATGCATGGAAGGTAAGAGAAGGAATGTCACATTTGGAGAGCAAGTGACAGTCCACTTTGACTGGAATGTAATATGTGGGGAGGAGAAGTTAGAGGCCAGGCTGAGGAACTTAAATTTCATCCAGAATAGAACACTGGAGGCTTTTGAGCAGAGCAAAGACATTTGCCTTAGGAAGATTATTTTGATAGTGTAATGGAGGTTGGATTGGGGAAAGAATAACCTAGAAGAAGGAAGACCCTTTAGGAGGACATTATGATAGTACATTTGGAAAGTGAAGAGAGCCTGAACTAGGGTGATTGTCGTATGAGTGAGAAAAAGAAAAGGATGAATGAGAAAGATTTTGTGGAGATGGAATCAACATGGTTTGGCAATTGACCGAATATGGAGAGTTAGGGGAAAGAATCAAGGATGACTCTGATGTAGCAGATCTGGGTGACTTGAAGGATAAAAGTAACCATGACAGAACTAAGTAAGTAAGGAAAATTGAAGGAATGGCAGTCCTTTTGGGGGAAGATGAGTTCAGTTGTGAACTCGTTGAGTTTGAAAGGCAGCTGGATAGAACTGTGGCAGGGGCGCTGGACCTAGAACCTGAAACACCTTAGTTCAAGTCCAACTGTCTGCCTCAGTTCCCTCATCGGTAAAATGGGATAATTGTAGCCCTTACCTTTAGGGTTGGTGTAAGGATAAAATGACATAATATTTGTAAAGCTTTTCACAAACCTTAAGGAACTATATAAATGTTAAATATTATTTCAGATGCTGATAGAACATACAGATGAAAATGTATAGTACACATTTGGTAATATAGGACTAGAGTTATATAGGAGAGGGGTTTAGGAGATATGTGTGTGTCATACATGTATATTCATATCTGTGTATATATATATACACACACACACATAAATATGATCATTGAACCCATGGAAGTATATAAGTTTGCTAAGGGAGACTGTGCAGTGGTAAAAGAAGGAAGGATCTGGGGACCTAGGATAAAGTCCCAGGGAGCATATGATGATCAAAAAAAGAGACTAAAGGAAACAATTAGAAGGGAGAATCAGGATGGAGACTCAAGAAAGCCAAGTGAGGGGAAGAGTATGAGAAGGAAGGGGTGGTTGACCGTGTCACAAAGAACGCAAAAGTTCAGGAAGATGAAGATTAAGACATTTCAATGTTTGAGGGATTATTAACCGTCTTGGAGAGAATGGTTTTCAAGGTTTAGAAGTCAGATACCAAGGGTTGGAGAAGTGAATGGGAGGTGAGGTAGTTGCAGCATTGGTTACTCTCAAGGTGTCTGGCAATGAAATGAAGGGAAGATTTGGGATGACAAGATCGAGGGAATGGTGTGGTCAAATATAAGAGTTTTTTTGTTTTTGTTTTTGTTTTTGTTTTTTAATAATGGGGAAAACCCAAGCATGTTTGTAGGCAGAGAAGAAGAAGCCAGTAAAAATGGGATTGAAAATGAGTGAGAACAAGAGAAAATAAAACTGGATGAATGACGAGGCAAGCTCTCAGAAGGGAAAGGAAGGGATCATGGGCAAAAATATCTAAAATAAGTTGCTGATGCTTCCTACAACAAATTTAAGGCTTGTCAAATATTATGCAATATTGGACAGCATTTAGGCAATTTGGTAGCACTTCCAGAGATTCTAAAGTGCTTACTGCTTTAGAGGCCCATCTTTTAAAGAGAAATATTCTCCATGTGACATATGGCTGTAAACCAGTGAACACCATGATATATAAAGAATCACAATCACAGGTGACTCAGAAATAATGAAAATAATAATATTAACTCACAGGTAAGGTGTAAAAAGCACATTCCTCACAACACCTCAGTAAGTAGGAAGAAGCACCAGACTTGGAACCAGGAAAAATTTGGGTTTGAATCCTTGCTCTGATACTATGAGACAGTGTACAAGTCCTAGGATCATATATCTGTAAAATGAGATTAAAACTAATGATATTGCACCATATCACAAGGTTGTTGTAAAGAAATGCCTTGTACTCCTTAAATTATGTATAAATGTTAGTTGCTATTATTATTGTCTTCATTTTATACATGAGGAAACTGAGGCTCAGAGAAATTGTGACTTATCCATGAGGTTGCACAGTTAGTAAATGTCAGAGCCAGAATTTGAACCCTAAGTATAGAATTCTTCCCACTACCTACTTCCTTACTGCCTGAAATTAGGTATGGTTGTTGTTAATAACAATAATTAACATTTTCTGTAGCAGTGTACAGTTTCACAGCACTTTTCAGACAACTTTTGAAGCAAGTATCCTGCAAAATATCAACAACAAATTACACACGAGAAGTTGAATAGGATTTTTTTTTATGATATGCATAGCCAAAAAAGAAGTTGGGATGGTTATGTTGTAAGGCTTAAGGATAGACTCCCAGAGCACAGCACTGCACCATAAACCAAAAATTCAAAAATACAGAAGAAGAATCTCCATGATGTTGAGTAGATCCTTTATGGAAAACCAGGACAAATGTCCCACAGGACAGAAGGGTACAGATGGGTTAAAGTCTGCAGTGATGGGGGGAGTGTCCTACTGATAAGATCATACAGAGATCTTAAACATACACAGATTCTAAATATCAAGAAAAGAGCTATTCAAATTTTTAAAACTCTTTTTGTTGAACTTTTTAGTGTAGGGGTCAGGAAAGATCAGGACTTTGGCCAGTGTAGGCTAACTCTATTACAGTTTTTCTTAGTGGGTAATAATTTGACTTGTGACCTGATCAGAAATCTGGGCCTAGAAAACATGATAAGCTAATCACATAGTGAAAGTGAGACAAAAACAATAGGCAGCCTCTCAGTTGTCAATCCACACAATATTAAGAGATTTAGGGAAAAGTACCTAGAACGTTGAATGGATGCTTTGTGGAGAGTATATGGGAGGACATGAAGAAGACTAGCATGTGATGATAGGCTGGCAGGTATAGGCTGTGATCTGTTATATCATCAAAGGAAATACTAACATTGATGAAATCATAGAACGATCAAAGTGTACACACTTAAAATAATAAATAGCCTTATTTGTCACTATTTTAAAGGTCTGAGAGCTTAATTAACAAATGTTTACCTTATTTCATAGGTATTCCCATCAGAACAACCTTAGATAACTCTACAACAGTTCAGTATGCAGGCCTTCTTCATCAGCTGACTATGAAAGCCAAGAGCACAGTGCGAGATATTGATCCTCAGAATGACCTAACTTTTCTTAGAATCAGATCAAAGAAACATGAAGTCATGGTAGCCCCAGGTAATATATTCAGAATTTATTTTTAAATTTTTATTTCTTTTTAATATTTTTTTTACATTTTGAGTTCCAAATTTTCTCCCTCCCATCACTTATTGAGAAGGCAAGCAATTTGATATCAATTATGCATATGAAATCATGCTGTTAGTCATTTTGTGAAAAAAAATAGAAGAAACAAAAGAAAAGTAGAGTAAAAAACATGCCTCAATTTATGCTCAGAGTTCATCAGGTCTCTTTCTCTGGAGGTAGATAGCATTTTTTATCATGGGTCCTTTGGAATTATCTTAAATCATTGTGTTGATTACAATATGTAAGCCTTTCACAATTGATCATTGTTACAATATTGTTGTTACTTTGTACAATGTTCTCCTGGTTCTACTCATTTCACTTTGTATCAGTTCGTATAAGTCATCTGAGGTTTTTCTCAAATTATCCTGCTCACATTTCTTATAGCACAGTAAAATTCTAGCACAATCAAGTATCAGCCTATTCAGCCATTTCCCAGTGGATGGGCATCCCTTCCATTTCCAGTTCTTTGCCACCACAAAAAAGAGATGCTATAAATATCTATGTACCTTTTCTCTTTCCTTTGTTCTCTTTGACATATAAACCTAGTAGTGGTATTGCTGAGTCAAAGCATGTGTAAAATGTGGTAGCTCTTTGGATATAGTCTAATTGTTCTTCAGAATGGTTGGGCCAGTTTACACAGTAAACTGTACATTAGTACTGACACAGTACATTAGTGTCAATTTTTCCACATCCCTTCCAGCATTTGTAATTTTCCTTTTCTGTCATGTTAGTCAATAGATAGGTATGGGGTGATACCTCAGAGTTGTTTGACTTTGCATTTCTATAATAAATGGTGATTTAGAGGATTTTTTCAAATGACTATTGATAGTTTTTATTTTTCTTCTGAAAACTGCCTGTTCATATCCTTTGACCATTTATCAGTTGAGGAATGGCTCATTTTTTTAAATAAATTTGACTCAGTTCCCTGTATATTTGAGAAACTCCCTATAAATTCCCCCCCCCCAGTTTCCTGCTTTCCTTCTAATTTTGGCTGCATTGGTTTTGTTTGTACAGGAAAAAAAGTTTTAATTTCATACAATCATAATTATCCATTTTATTTCCCATTATCCTTGCTATCTCTTGTTGGTCATAAACTCTTCCCTTATCCATATGAGAGGATTTTTTCCATGCTTCCCCAATTTACTTATGATATCACCCTTTATCTTTGAATCATGTACCAGTTTTTACCATATCTTGGTATACATGTGAAATGTTGGTCTATGCCTAGTTTCTGCCAAATTGCTTTCTAAGTTTCCCAGAAATTTTTGTCAAATGGTAAGTTTTTACTCCAGAAACTCGGTTTATCAAACACTAGGTTACTTTGTTCATTATTTTACAGGTAAGGAAACAAGGTTAAATTACTTGCCCAGGGTCACACATCTAGTAAGTGTCTTAGGATGGATTTGAACTCAGTTCTTTCAGATTCCAGGCCTGGTACTCTATCCACCACACCACATAGCTGCTACTTATCATTCTAAGAAAGGCTCTAATGAGTCCTATGCTTTCTAGCATTTTTAATAGGAATAGGTGTTGTATTTTGTCAAAAGCTTTTTCTGTACCTATTGAAATAATCATATGAATTTTGTTATTTTTATTATTGATATGATCTATGATCAATTATGCTGATAGTTTTCCTCATATTGAACCTGCCCTACATAAATTCCACCTGGTCATAGTATATGATCTTTGTGATATATTGCTGTGATCTGCTTGCTAATATTTTCTTTAAAATTTTTGCATTGATATTCATTAAGAAAATTGATTTAGAGTTTTCTGTCTCTGTGTTTGTACTCCCCGGTTTAGGTATCAAAACCATATTTATATCATAAGAAGAATTTGGTAGGACTCCTTTACTTATTTTTTTCAAGTAGTAGTAATGGGATTAATTATTCCTTAAATGTTTGATAGAATTCACTTGTAAATCTACCTGATCCTGAGGATTTTTCTTTTTATCTTTGTAAATTTTTTATTCATCTTAAATTTAAATACAAGTGAAAAAATAAAAGAAAAAGAATATTTCCATGTACACAGCAGAACATGAGATAGAATTCAATATAAAACAATAAATTTCTATTTCAAGAAAACCTATATAATAAATACTGCACATTGTTTTCAAAGCTACCCAGCTTTTCTTTGTTTCCTTGTAGGTTTTCTTTTATTCTTTGGTGTTTTTCCACCATCCTAAAAAAGGCTACAATTAAACATAGATAGATAGATATAGAGATAGATATCTATAAGCATACACATATAAATACATATACACTCGTGCACATATGTGAAAGACTGTACTATGAATGTTTCCACTTGTCATCTCTTTCTCTGGAGGTGGATGGCGTCTTCCTTCATAGGTCCAGGTCTTTCCATGTTTTTCAGAATCAACCAACTCATCATCTTCTACATCATAGCCATATTCCACCACAATCACATCCTATCTGAAATTGTCCATGAAAGTATTTCCCCAATTTTCTGAATTCCTCAGGTATTTTATAATGTCTGGTTATTTAAATGGTCTAAAACAGTATTGAATAATATTGGTAACACATAATATGTTTTCCTTAGTTTTCTCTTTTGATTAAATATATTTTAGCTTTAGATTTGTCTGAAATCATGATTACTATCCCTGCTTTTTTTACATAATAAATTCTACTCCAGGCTTTCATTTAATCTTTGTGTATATCTCTCATTTTTATTGCGTTTCCTGAAAGCAGTAAATTTTCTAATTCAAATTTTTAATCTGCTATACCTTTTCTTTTTATGGGTAAATTCATCCCATTCACATTCTAAGCTATAATTACTTGTTGTATATCTCCCCCCTTCCTATTTTTCCCTACTATCCTTCTTACCTTATGGGATTTTTTCTTAACAAACTCACTGATGGCTTGTTCAATTTCTTTTTCTAAGTTTAAATTTTCTATAATTTTTCCTTTAATGTTTAAGTATTTTATTTACTCTTCTATTAATTTAGGCAATTTATATTTTTTGTAAATATTCATCCATTTTAATTGACTATAAGTTTTACTGGCATATAATTGTACAAAATAGCTCCTAATAATTGTTTTAATTTCATCATCATTGGTGGTGCATTCACTCTTTTCATTTTTGATTCTGTTAATTTGGTTTTCTTCTTTTTCTTTCTTAATCAAATTAACTGATGGTTTATCTAATTTGTTATTTTTTTTTCATAAAACTAGCTCCTAGTTTTATCTATTAGTCCATTTCTTTTTTTTTTTTTACTTTCAACTTTGTTAATCTCTTCTTTGATTTTCAGGATTTCCATTTTGATGTTTGAGGATTTTTAATTTGATGTTTTTCTAGTTTTTTTTGTTCCTTGCATGCCTAATTCATTGTTCTGCCATTTGGTGGGTATATACATTCAGTATTGATGTTACTTCATTGTCTAAACCAGGGATGGGGAACCTGCAGTCTGGAGGCCACTAGGTCCTCAAGTCCCCTTAATAAAAGATTTGTTCTGTGAAGTTTGGATTCAGTCAAAGGGCTGCAGTTGAGGACCTAGAGGGCCTATGTGGCCTCAAGGCTATAGGTTTCCCATCCTTGATCTATGCTGTCTTTTAGCAAAATGTAGTTTTCCTGATTATCTCTTTTAATTGGGTCTATTTTTTTTAGTTTTTTTATTTATTTTAATTTATCAGCAATCACTTTCATAAGCTTTTGAGTTTTAAATTTTTCTCCCCTTCTCTCCCCACCTCCCTCCCCAAGATGGCACACAATCTGATATAGGCTATACATATACATTCCTGCTAAACATATTTTCACATTAGTGATGTTGTAAGGAAGAATTAGAACCAATAGGTGGAACTGCAAGAAAGAAAACAAAACAAAACAGAAGAAAAAAATAGCAAATAGTATGCTTCGATCTGCATTCAAATTCCATACTTCTTTCTTTGGATGTGGATAGCATTTTCCATCATGAGACCTTTAGAGATATCTTTGACCCTTGCATTGCTGAGAAGGGTTAAGTATGTCAGTGTTAATATCGCATAACATGGCTGTTACTGTGGACAACATTCTCCTGGTTCTGCTCATTTCACTCAGCATCAGTCCCTACAAGTCTTTTCAGGTTTTTCTGAAGTCTGCCTGCTCATCATTTCTTATAGCACAATAGTATTTCATTACATTCATATACCACAACTTGTTCAGCCATTCTCCAATTGATGGGCATCCCCTTAATTTCCTAATTGGGTCTATTTTTGCTTTTGCTTTTTCTAAGATCATGATTGCTACCCCTGCATTTCTTTACTTCATTTCAGTATAATAAATTCTACTCCAACCCCTTATTTTAACTCTTTGTGCCATTCTATTTCAAGTCTGTTTCTTTTAAACAACACATTATTAGATTCTGGTTTCTAATCCACTCTGCTCTCTGCTTCTATTTTATTGGTGAGTTCATCCCATTTACATTTACAGTTATGACTACTAACTGTGTATTTCCCTCTATCCTAATTTCTTGTTTATCTTTCTCTCTCTCTCTTTTAACCTTTTCCCTCCTCAGAAGTTTATTTTGCTTCTGACTTCTTCCTCTCTTAATCTGCTTTACCTCTTATCACCTTACTCCTTTCTTTTATCCCTTTCACCTCATACATCTCAGTAGGGTAAGATAGGTTTCAATATGCAATTGATTGTTTACATATTCTTCCTTCTTTGAAGTAGTTCAGATGAGAGTGAAGTTCAAGCATTGCCCATTCCCCCACCATTTTCCCCTTCACTATAAAAACTCTCCCTTGTATACGTATTTTGTGTGAGATAAGTTTCTCCATTCTTCCTCTCCTTTTCCCCTTCTTCCAGAGCACCCCTCTTTCTCGCTGCTCCATTTATTTAGGTAATCCCAACATAACTCACATCCATGCCTTCTATCTACATAGACTCTGATTCTGCTAATTACTCTGATAATGATAAAGTTCTTAGGAATTACATGT